CCTCATAATGAGTAGTGGATTCAAACCACCAACTTTCTGCTTAGCAGCACAATGGTTTAACCACTACACCACCAGAGCTCCTTAGGTAAGAGGAAGGAGGGAGGAATTCTAGAGGAACAAGAGGAATGCTTTGGAGGTGACAGATAGTGTCCACTCTCTTGATTGCAATGATGTCGTTGTGGTTGATAGGTTTCATTGGGTCAGTTCTGACTCATAGTGACCCCATGTACAACAGAATGAAACACTCCTCGAACCTGTGTCAGCCTCACAATCCCTTTTGTATCGCCCACTGTCGCAGCCACTGTGTCAATCCACCTCACCGAGGGCAGTCACCTTTTGTGGTGACCTTTCATTTTACCAAACATGATATCCTTCTCCAGGGACTGGTTCTTTGTGATAATAAGACCAAAGTAGGTGAGATGAAGTCTGTCCATTCCTGCTTCCAAAGGGCATTCTGGCTGCACTTCTTCCTGGACAGATTTGTTAGTTCTTTGGGCAGTCCATGGTACTGTCACTATTATTCGCCAACACCACAGCTCAAAAGCATCAACTCATCTTTGTCCTTCCTTATTCATTGTCCAGTTTTCATCTGCATATGAGGCTATTGAATATACCATGGCTTGGGCTAGGTGCACTTTAGTCTTCAAATGAGACATCTTTGCTCATCATCACTTTAAAGAGTTTGTTTGCAGCAGATTTGCCCAGTGCAATACGTCATTTGATTTCTTGACTGATGCTTTTGTTGCTGTTGATGATGGAACCAAGTAATATGAGATCTTTGACAACTTAAATGTCTTTCTTCCTTAATCATGATACTGTTTAATGTTCCAGTTGTCAGGATTTTTGTTTTCTTTGTCTAGAACTGTGACACATACTGCAGACAATAATCTTTAATCTTCAACAGTAAGTGCATTAATTCATCCTCACTTTCTGCATACAAGGTTGGATCACCTGCATACTTTCAGTGATTTTGTGTTTCTTTCCATCTACTTTTGATACTTCCTGTATCATTCAATATTTTGCCCACAGAATATTTCAGTATTGCAACTTGAGGCTTGGATTTGATATTATTATTTTTACACCAAGACCCATAGAAACATTGGCAATCAGTAAAGGGTTGAATAAAATGGCTTGTATACTTGGCATTGAAGCCCAACTGGTCACATTTGGACCATTGTTACTTAACACAACATCTGCTCATTAGTGATCAAATGCAGGGATATGAAAGAGCAGCTGGAAGCCCAGTCTGTGAGGAAAACTAAAAGTCGTATTCCATTCGTGGTCCTAGAATTCACCCCAAAGGTCTTTCCCTTTGCCGTGTCCACCCAGGATCCATGGGTCCGAGAGTCTAGGACATGACCTGTTCAGATCGTCATGTGTCCCCTGACTTCTGAGATCAACAACCCACTCTGAGGGCCTGCTGGGAATGAAGGCAGAAGGAGTGTTCCTCAGGGCTTGTATCAAGCACAAGAAGAGTGAGGGTTACATGATAAGGCCACAGACGTCTTTATTTGCTCTGAATTCACTGGACTGAAAACAATGAAGCTGCCAGTGTGGTTTCATGCATTGTTGTTGTTGTTGTTGTTATGTGCTGTCGAGTCAGACCCGAGTCATAGCAACCCCTCCTTGGGTTTCTGAGACAGTATCACTACAGTAGTAGATTGCCCAACCTTGCTTTTGAGGAGTGGCTGGTGGGTTTGAACCACCAGCCTTCTGGTTAGCAGTCAAGTGCCTTAGGCACTATGTTACCAGTGCTCCCCCAAACTGGTTTCATGCATTGGATGCATTTCATAATTTATGTTTTAATTCTTGAGAGGTCCAAGCGCATTCCTTCTGCATCTTAAGCATTATTCCTTCAGAATAACTCAAGTATGAGCATTTGGTAAAATTCGTGTCTCTCTTTAGACTCCTTCCCTCCCATTTGGCAAAAACAAACAAATGAAAACATAGATTTTGTACTTTTCAGTAGCCCCCTGTGATGACAATGTTTCATGAATTTTTCTCTACAAATACAGCTTCCAAAGATTTCAATGTTTTAAATAAACTGCGTGATGAATGATTAGAGCCAGTGCATTTTCAGTTCCTCTGAATACATTGGGCTACAAGAGCCGAACCTCTCACTGTTGCTCCCTGGGTCTGAGTCTCTAATGATCTATGTTTTGTTTGAGTGTTTGTACATTTTCAAGATTACAGGAAGTGATCATATTGCCCTACGCCCCTTAGCCCCTCTCCTCCTGCAAAAACTCAGGATACTAAGCACAACTTCCAACTGACCTTCCAAGGAAAGTTTGGAAATGAGGAGGACCTGGAGGTACATGGGGAAAGCGATTAAGTCTTGAGCTTATTCCCTGAGTATCTTCATGTTTTCAGGGTGTTCCCTCCACTTCTCAGTGGGACTAGGGCCTCTCCTGACTCCTCCCCACAGAAGAGCCACAGAGTCCGTGATCTTCCTCTCATACAACTGCTCCACCTTGAGTCCAGATCCACCCATGCAAATAAGCCAGGTTCAAGAAAAACTCCAGGCTGGGGTGAGGAGTGCCATCTGCCTCCTCACTCTGGGCCAGGGCCTTTGTCATGAAGAGTCTCCACCAGACACACATGGATTTCCCAGCAGTCCTCGTCTGCCTGATGGCCACCGTCTATGGTGAGTGGCCTGAGTTGAATAAATAAGTGAGGAGTGAAGCAGTGTATCTACTTTACTCACAGTGTTTCTCTGTTCCCAGGTGTCCAAGCCAAGGAACATATTGTGCAATGGGGAGAGGGGACCGTGTCCCCTTCTCAGACGCTCAGGCTCACCTGTGCCACCTACACACTATCAATTTCTGAATATGCCGTGTCGTGGATTCGCCTCCGCCCAGGGAAGGAGCTGGAGTGGCTCGGTGTGATCTGGGCTAATGGAAAAACCAACTACAGCCCCAATCTCCAGTCTCGGATGAGCATCTCCAGGGACACAAGCAAGAACCAAGTGTTCTTACAGCTGAACACTGTGACAGGTGAGGACGCAGGCACATATTACTGTGCCCAAGGCACTGTGATCCAGATTCAGTTGGAGCTCAGACCCAAACCTCCCCGCAAGGACCAGATGGCAGGGGGCGCTCAGGACACACTGAAGGAGGATCCACCACAAGGACACCTGTAGAGGAGGCTCTCTCTGCTAGTGGTTTCCTGTATCTTCCTCTGCTCCCCTAGTTTTCAACTGTCCCCAGGGACACTGCGTGGCTTGTTCCTCGCAGCTCTAAATCCTCACATTCTCACTGCAGCCTCAGGAACAGGAAGTAATTTATCAGTTTGTAGGGGGACTTTTCTCAGTCACCAGCACCCTCTCCCCCCACCCCACTTTCCCTGATGGCAGGATATTCATCTTGACAAACAAGATACTGAAGAGGGCAGTTGTTTCTGTGATTGGGAGATTTTCCCATAAAGAGAAACTCCAGCGTATTCTATGGACTCTGTGCACCAAGCTCACATTCTCCCCTCAGACAGGCTCCCAGTGTCCCCAACTACTCTCTGTCCCTCAGACAGGCACAGTGTTCTCACATGGGCATCTTCCCTTGTACAGGCTCACATTGTCCTCACAGAGATGCCTTCCATCAGACAGGCATACACTATCCATGAGGGTCCCATTCTTCAGAGACACATACACTAATCCCCATTAGTATCTTTCCTCAGACAGGACTACACTGTCAGCACTCGGTACCCTCCCTTAGACAATTACATGGTATTCTTACGTGGGCTACCTCTCACACACAGGGTCATAGTGTCCTTATTCTGATGTAATCAAAACACTGGTACTCAACGTTTCTGTGTCTAAAATCAGTACTCAGACCTACATTAGCACCAAGAAATAAGTTATGGGTTAGAATTCATGTTGGAGGGATAAAAATAAACATCAAAACAAAATAACAATTCAAAAAAAAAAAAACTTAATTATTGAAGGATACAGTTGTCATTTTGTCTTTATTAAAATGATAAAATCTGGTGGTGTAGTATCTAAGGCATTTGACTGCTAACCAGAAGGCTGGTGGTTCAAACCCACCAGCCACTCTTTGGAAGTAAGATTGGACAATCTACTACCATATAGATACTGCCTTGGAAATCCAAGGAAGGGTCACTATGATTCAAATCGACTCTATGGCAGTGAGTTTGTTTGTTTACTTGTGTCAAAAACACTAGAAAATTGAAAAGAAAAAGTAAAAAATAGAAGAAAATATTTAGTAAAAACCTGTCTTATACAGGACTGACATAAAATAGTCCAAAAATCCATAATCGTAACAATAAGTTAGCAATAAACATAATAAAAAAAAAAAAGACAAAAAAAAAAAAAAAAAAAAGAACAGATACATCACCTAAGGAGATACATGCATACCAAATATGCTGTAAAATGCCCACCTCATTTGTCGTTATAGTTTGCCAACTAATATAACAATGAGG